GGTGACCCCTCTCTGACTTCATCAGGGCACACAGAGGACGTGCATACACTCCAGTTCAACCCGACAGCAGCGGACGTCCTATGCTCAACAAGCCACGATCTTTCGCTGCGCTTTGGAGATGTAGAGACAGGGCAAGAGATTACGTCAGGAGCGCAAGCTAGATAACATCGGCCCTTTGCGGTGATGGTGCTCTCTAGCCACAGCAAGCCGCTGAAGCTACACTTCGTGTTTCATAAAAAGATAGTTTATAGTGTTGCATCAATGGAACGAAAATCAGTAAAAGTAAGCTCTACAATCTTCGCACCTTTAAACTTCTTTATTAATGCGGATAAATCTAACTTTTGAGCAAATTAGCTGCTCGTAAATACGTTCGATGGCGTCAGCAGCGCGGAATAGCAAAAACAAAGTACGAATTAGCCTCGCCCGCATTGAACATAAAATTTAAACGAAGCAACAGAATGAAAGCGTTTGATCGGGTGATATTTTTGGGGGTTCAACGGATGTCAGCGACCGCACGCAACATCAAACGACACTCCTTCACGATGAACGACCATTGCTACAAATGTCAATTTCCATCGCCAAGAAGCACTAGATGCGGAAGCACGAGACTTGATTTCATGTTAGAGGAAAAAGGGAGCAAGCTCTGGGGCTCGACTTTTGTTATTAGTAGTTTAGTCTAGAGAACGGAATCACGTTCTGTGTTCACGTAACCATTCCGGGTGGCTGGTGGTAAGGGGATGGCTAGTGCGTTGTGTATCTGAAACGTGAAAGCGCTGATGAATTATGTGTGTTACAGCTACTTACTTCTGTTGTTGGTGCTGCGACCAGACGAATATGAGAAAAGGGAGATAGAGGATGAGCCCGCTCGTTTACGCCGTCAACGCCAAAGTGCGGCCAACGACATGTGATCGATTAATGAAAGCGATAAATGAAGTTGAGGGAGCTTTGTCTGCCACCGAGAGAGAGGAATTAACCATAAATTCCCACCTCACAATTTATCAGGTGCTACGGATAAAAGCACAGTACATCCACTGTTTGCTGGAGGTGCGAGACTTTCGCTGCCACTAAGTATCGGGCGTTTGCTGATTAGCCCTCGATTCGACCCGGGTCCCTTTTGAACCAATGACGTGCGGTTATGCTCCCAATGCGATCGCATCGGTGACCCGATCCAAGAGTGACATCGGTCATGCAAGATAGGTTGTATCGCACTTAGTACGACGTGGAAGGTACACTTAGCGTTGCTTACCGACACAGACAGACACAAAAAGTTGGTTTTTCAAAGCTCGATTTCACGTTGCGTACATTTACCAGTTACTTATGACCCGCAGTCATGCTAAACTGTAAACGCACCACGCTTGGCCTAATCTATAGCCCAACAACAAGTCCGCTGCTTTATAAACATCGAGATGGCCACATCTTACACAAATAGGTAGAACGCTCCACTGCTAACTGACCCGTTCCCAATAATTACCAACCCCGCTTTTCTTCTACATGTTGGCTACAACAGGCACGAGTCTTGAGCACGGAGAGCTGGTTGAGGGCGAAAATCGACGATTGTTGTCGGCAAAGGGGCTAGTGCTGACAGCTCTTGGGTTTTGCTCTCACTTAACGTCCTCGACTGATGGCGACGGACGTAAACAACGGCAGCGAGCACCACGACTGCTGCAGCCGCAATAGCACAGATGACAACCACGCTACTGCCCATGGTCGAGCTGCTGGAGCTCGCGTTCGAAATCTGATGGCTGTCAGCCAACCTTGCTGCATGCTTCCGCACTGATGCCGGGGAAGCATGAGACGGCACTTCGTCCGTCTTCAGAAGACTTTCAGTCGACTTGACAACAGTCTCGCCATCGATCGTGGAAGCCATGGCGATGGATGTGCTGCCTCTCTTTTGAAGCGACGTAGATTTCAGCAGTGGCAGGGCCGCATTGTACTTGGTCCAAAGCTTCTGCCCTTGGTCTTCATCCTGCTGGGTCTGATTTTGACTCTGTTCCGATTCCGTATCCTGCGGCATTGTCGCAAAGCTGTGCACCTTGCCGTCAATCATAGGGTACCCCTTCTCAGCTACCATAACGCCTTGGTTCCAAAGAGACTGGAACAAGTCGTTGAAGAAGACGCCGGCTCCAGGACCGTGCATCGAATCGGACGTGCGACCATCACACGTCCCATCACTGTCTCCTGGTGGCTTGGCCCAAATGAAGTAGTCGACGTTGCTCAGCCCTGTCTCCTTCGTAGGCAAAGCTCCGATCCCTGCACTCTTAACGTTGCACCACTCGTTCGACGCCGGTCCTCCATGATAACTGCGGGACGTGTCAAAGATGCAGTGCAGGTCCGTCGAGCCAATGGCTTGCTGGAACTTGCTGCACAGAGTCGCTAACGTGCTCGTGGACTGATAGTTGGACGTGTTGAGCATAATGCCCTTCACTCTGGACGTCGCTGACACGAGCTGCTTCACGATATCTGCTACGGCTGTAGACGTGGCAGGGTACTCGAGAGCCCAGTAGCCCACGTCCAAGTAAATCTCCGCATTCGCGTTCTTCTGGGACAACAACTTAATAGCAGTCTGCAGGTTGGCGAGGTATCCAGCCCCTTGGCCGCATTTTGTGGTATCTGCCAGCAGCCCAATAGCGTCCGGCTCGAGAACGTACAGCACCTTCCTGTCCCCGATTGCGGAGGCCAGTGTCGTGATGAACGCTGCATAGTCCGAAGCCGAGAAGACCGTGCCCCCACCCGTTGACTCTTGAGCAGCACAGTCTTTATTCGGCAAGCCATAGACGACGACACTGATCCGGGAGTCAGGGGGGCAAGCCGTCACAAGGTCAGCTGCGAGCTGGGCATAGTCTCCATTAACAAACCGATCGGAGTACCACGTTGCGATGCTGTATTTCTCCAGCGCCTCAATGGCGAAGGCGGATGCCGGGTACGCGGTTTTGGCTTTCGCATACGAGACTGGAGGCAGGGAACATAAAGGATCAGCAGCTCCTTGCACGGGTTTCGAGTCTGCAAAGAGCACGATGCAGGAGAGGATCGAAGCGGCTCGAAAGGAGCGCCGCATTCTGAGGCAAGCGAGCGAGAGGGACACGTCGAAGGCAGCAAGTTGCGAGTCAAGCAAGACACGGAGAAATCGCGAGTGCCCCGGCGTCTGGGCTGACGGAACGGAGACCACGCTGCAGGTTTCCACCATCACAACGGCCGATCTTGACCAATCCAGAGTGACCCGACGTGGCGCGCGCCCAGATACAATCGCGGCTGGCAGCTCGACGCTCCCTGGTCGTTGGTCCAGGGGCAGGACACCTCGGTGTCTTCAAGGTGACTGACTGACCTGACGGACTGACATAACTGACTCACTGCCTCCAGTCAGTCGGGCAGTCCCTCTCTCTTCGTGCAAAGGTGTCAGGAGAAGGGCTGAACCCGTGCGACTGTCGCACTTGGTGCTCGGTTTCGCTCCCTCAACGTCCAGCTCCCGAGTGGTGCCCCCTGATAGTCGAGAGGGTGCGTTCGTGCTTGCTCCTGCGGCCAGAGCCAAAACGTTGCGAGCGACGAAGCTGAGAAAAGGCAGTCGTCAAGACGTCAAGAGAGGACACGCACCGCTTCCTGGTAGACACGAGGAGGTGTCCCGCACGAACGTACAAACCCACGCACCCACTTGTGTGAAAGAAAGCAAACAACTACGTGCATTTTAAGCTGTCGGTCTCGCTCGCTCGCGTTCGGATCCACTACGTCCTGGTGGTTGCCAACCCGCTCGATCCAGAGCCGAATCGATAGCGACCGCATGGAGGAATAGCCAGCCGTCCACTGCGTCGAGCGTCTTCGCCCACCAACCACATCTCCTCCTCATACAGCAAAAGCGATGGACAGACAATGACGGCGCGACGTTTCTCACTGCGTGGAAGTGAAAGAGCCTCATCCCCGTCCAGATCCTCACAGAATCGTGCTGCCGCCGTCAGGCGTGCGTCTAATCTCAATGTGAATGTTCTCATGGTCGCCCGGGGTGGCGAGCGCCGCGTCGGTTTCGCGCGCTTTCTTCACTTGGGACACGGCCAGCCCCACCACAGCCACCGCTGCCACGACCCCGGCAATCATGAGCCCCGCCGAGCCCGAAAACTTGCTGTTCTCGCTGTCGTCAGTCGACTGGGTCTCGACATGCTGAGCAGCGTGCTCAGGCTCCTCGTCCTTCGTCTTCTGTTCCTCCTTCTCCTCCTCCTCGTCCATTGCAACGCCAGTCTTGGCAGCTGGACCCTCCGGGGTCGAACTGCTAGGAGCGACCGGAGAGGGTTGAGGCTCCTTGGGTGATGCCGCTGGTGAAGGTTGGGGCTTCACGGGTGTTATCACTGGAGGAAGTTCAGGTGTTTCCACTGAAGGAGCTGAACTTCCAGCGGGGATGGTCGGGACCTTGGCATCTTCGGTCCCCTGCTCTTCGTTCTTGTGTTCGGGAGGGAAGTTCGGCTCGCAGTCGGACACGTGCGAGCTCGTCTCCTTGACGGGGTTCATGGCAGAAGGGGTTATAGGGGGATACCCTTCAGTGCCCGCGGGCATGTACGGGCCTTCGGGGCTTCCGTCAGTAGTTGAGGGTGGGAGCGAAGTCCCTTGGGGCACAGCCAACGTCTCGTCGGAGAGTACAGCCGCGATCACGGCCGTGCAGACAGCCAACTTGTGGAACATCTTCGCTCTTCAGGTCTTTTTCAAGTCTGTGGCAGCTAAAGAGAGCGAGAGAGAGAAATTGAGCGACGTGCTGCTGCTGCTGCTGCTGTGTCCCTCCCCGCTCCAGCTGGAGTCAGAGCAAGCACAGATCGAGTCACGTGCTCGGTAGGCAAAGGCGGGTGGGGTAAAACTCAGTCGTTATCCGCGAGAAGGGGCTCGCGTCGAGTCGATGCAACGACCGTGTCGCCCCTTCGTTGCGAGCTGAACCCTGGGACGGACGGACGGACGGACGAACTGACTGAATGCCGTGGAAGATGCGGCGTTCGTGTCTATTTATTCGCGAGGTAGAGTAGGAGCAGATGGAATATCTAGGGAGCGGCTTTGAGGCGATAGGCGGCACACATCGAAGGCTGTGCGTGCGTTCGAAGCTCGTGGTGGAGCTGAACCCTCGGGTCTCACGGACCTGCGAAGACGCCGGAACTGAGGCGGACCGCCTTCTGTGCCTCCAGATAGTGGCAGCATGCTGTCGCCTGACCTACTCTGCTGTGCGTGCTAGCAGCTCTGTCCACACTGCAACGTGCAGCGAGCGCGGTTGTCGCCACATCGAAACGGCAAAGCTTTGCCGATCTCCTGGACGAAGTCACGATCAAATCGACGGTGAACTTCACCACTCAAACTTTCATTACGTGCGGGGCTTACGCATTTCGTGGAGCCTGCTGGCCGTCGCTGCAGCTTGCAGCTCGTGCGCTTTACCGTTTATGCACGTTGCGAGTTATTTGCTGCTGGCGATGCGCTTAGCGTCTAGAGATGGGATCACCGGTACCACACTTGCAATCGTGGATACGGCCACACTGACGTGCACAACAAGTAACTGCTCAAGTCGACAAGTGGTTGTCACGAATTCATCACATGTTCCGTGGTGTCAGCACGGTAGTGATGGTATGTGGATGTGGAAGGCCTTCACTGCCTGTACGAAGGCCGTTGTGGCGTCTGTACACACACAAAGAGCACAATAGTTAAATGTCCGTCTTTTGCAGTGTTACATATAAGACCACGCGATGAGCCAGGCGTGGCTTCCACTTCGCCGGTTCATGTCGGAAAAGTTCGGTCGGATCACACCATTACACGGACGTGCAGTTAGAAGAGCTGAGTTCACGTCGAGGTCCTAGTGCAGTCAGTACGACAGTTGTCGATAGAACAGGCGATGCCGATACAGACTGATCGTTGGAATCGTAGATCTTGGTCCAGCCCAGTTAAAAAGGGCGTAACACAAGCTATAAATGCGCACGGACGGAAGCACGCATTCTATCTTCCTGTCTCCAAGACATGAATACGCAGCTCTGCATGCCAAAGCACGAAGCGCGCGATGCGCGTCACGATGAGCTGGCACGTACATCAGTCTAAAGGTAGCAGTTGTCGCGCTGGCGTGCGGACCGCGCGTCAGAGCAGGGACTCCAAGGCTTCTAAATTTCTTTTGCTGTCGCACACTATGGAGATTGCGGGTCAACTTAATCGACCGTCGAGGTATTTTTCACAATGTGAAGCGTCCACATGTTCGAGATGCCACGCGTGTCGCTGACGCTCGCGACAGTTGTCGATACGGTGGCCAATGCGTCAGTACTGTTTTGTGACAGTCACAGCAGGGGGTTGTCTGAACTGTACCCAACGAAAATCTGCACCGTACGTAAATCCCGTGCCCACTGATTTATGGGATTAAATCGATCGAAAAAAGAAAATATTATTCGATCTATTCGCGAAGAGTAAAATAATGCCCTGGTGCTTTTCGATTCTATTTTGTGTATCTGACAAATGACAGCAGTCTAACTGAACCTTTGGCTCTGACTCGGTAGCAGAATTTTACGTCGTGACGACTGAGTACAAGAACATTGGCCTAAGGTGTAAGACGTCGGTGGACAGGACATGATTTGCCCGCTGTGGCGTTCCTACTGCCAGAACACACATAACTTGATCTTTGTGGTCGACACGAATAGTCGCGATCGTGCGGATGCTGAATGAGGACGAGCTGCACCGCATGCTGAACAAGGACGAGCTGTGGGACGCAGTGCTGCGGGAGGTCTCAGCCGTGTAATGTTGCGTCCATTGCTGTAAAAATTGCTCGCATGTTCATTATTTGGTGTCAAGAAGTACGTACGTTTCCACCACTTTGTGTGGATAGTGACTCAGAATGAGATGTAGCCTAGGCGAAATACAACGACGAAGTAGTAGTACGGCGCAAGATTGGTCCTTTTGCTAAACGTTAGATCGTTTCAGTTTCGGATCGTGTAATGATATGTAAACATTTGACGGAAAGAGAATGTTTTACATGCTCTCTGATGCCATAATGACAAAAATTTACGAAGGAAATTAAATGGTGCACTTTGTGATATTGTGTCGTGAATAAGCTCGGAAATTTATAAAATAAACGGAAAACACGCTAATTACACTCATAATAACTTATATCAGTGGACACGGAACTTGGGCACAGTGCGGATATTTGCTGGGTACGGTGCAGACAAACCCGCACAGCAGGCACAAGTATGAACATCTGCTTCCACCGCTTACTTTTGTCCGTGCCTGACATCTCCAACTGTTTGCGTCTCTCGGCTGGACGTTTGTATCGACCAAATGGCATTCGTTACTCTTGGTCATGATGATAGACGAAAAGGAGTTTGCAACACCGATTGACGATGCAAGGACGCAGTGCTTGCATATTGACGAGTTACGAGTAGACAGCTGGAACTTGTGCGACAAATTGTGACGAGGTCGTGTGAACATTCAGGTTGAGGGAGTTGGATCAACACGCGTACCAGCAAGAACACTCACTCTTTTGAACCGTACGACAATCACGGCGACGGATGGCTTCGAATAAACAAGGCAATACGTCCACAATCACGCAAATACCTTGAAGCTGTCTCTTTCTCCATTAGGCGAGGACGTCAAACGAGTGTTAGCTCATAGTTTGGAAACGGCGTGCAACAAAAAAAAAGAGTGTACAATCAAGCGCACGTATCAGGTGGTATGCCCGACAGGTGTTCATGTTCAGAACATTGATGCTGAATTGCATTCGTGTAAGCATCCGGGACACCACACAAGCCTGACTTTCTGCTCCTACCTCATGTGTGCCGATTGGCCACATTAAAATCGTCCATTTGGCACACCGAGTTGCAGTATTTTTCATTACCAACTGAAGCAATAGTCTTCTACAATAAAGTCAGGTTGCTATATCGAATGTAACCTCTGTCCCTGTCATCATCCTTCTTCGAATGGAGGCGTCGCAACAGCGATAGCAAGAGATCAAAGGTAGTCAAAGTAGGCGCATCGAGCTGTAGTGCAATCGCTCATGATCCGAGTGTAAGTAGTGCGGCGACCGACTTTAAATCAGCGCCTCTTTCTGTGTTGTGCCAAGTCGTCTGAACCGGCATGAAGCTCTGGCGGATGCTCGTGCGGTATGGAGTCGTAGCAAGCCTGGTGACCTCGCTAATGGTTTGCAGAGCTACGATACAAAGTCTGAAATACAGAAGACGATTGCGTCCTCTCGGTGCAATCGTCGAAATCAATACATGCACTACTGATTTTACAAAGATTAGTCGTGCTAGCGCTCTTTTACAGATTTATCTGGCACTGGGTGGCAGGCCAGGAACGTGGATACTCTTGATCGTGTGATCGTCAAGTGCAAACTAACGATGTAAACTGCTACCCGTTGCGTCTGTTACTGTCCATTCTCGCCGTAAATGCCTGTAATTATTTCCATGACATGTCATTTACCGCGATAGCTTCGAGAGACGAAAGCAGTGTGTTGGTCCATAAGGTACAGCCAGCACCTTGTGGTACTACCCACGTGACGTGAGCTCTTGTCAAGTGCGATCTTGCATATTCTTTTAGGAGGTGGTAAATAGTCTTCTCATCGCCGTGATTGCACGGCATGCGTAAAGTCGAGCATGGGCCCTTCGAATTGTACATCCTTAAGAAGCGAATGCCGCCGCATAGATAATCGGACGATCGGCAAGTCAATCAAGTTGGCAACCAATCGAGTGGCTGTGGTTCCATTCAAACGTTGAGTTATCGCAGTTCTGTAAGAATAAATTTCAGCAATGATTCAGATGTCAAGTGCCCGGGTGATTCGCTTCAGCTTCTTCGAGTCCACTACTCAGAAACATTGAGAAGACGCTGCACACACTCACGATTCGCCAGGTCTTTATGCACGGACGCCTACGCCTGTATATTGACGAATTTCTGACGTCTTATCAGTGCGATTGTTGCGTCGATCCAATTACTTGCACATAACCGATATCTATTTCACCAGACCTCGATCTCTCTGGCTTGAGGCCGACTTTCCACGCACCAGAAAGTACAGCTCATAGAGCCGTGCAGTGAAGCTATTAGAACTGCGGCCGTGAGTCCGGCACTCGCATTTGTCACGTGCATATGACACAGGCTATATGTGAGCGAGTCTCAAAAAATTGATCAGTTGAGGCGCTGTTTTGAGGTTTTGCTCGTCATCTGCGCAGCAGCTCGTGTCACGATCAGTAGCGCAATTTTGGGCGCAGTTGTTTCGGCGTTTGTACCAAGAAGGAAATGTGCTTCCCTGTACTTGATTTCCTCACATTCTATGCAGAATACAAGTCGGAAAGTGGCACGGAAGAATAGGACTGCAGGCAAGATCGAATACGATAGAGTGATCGATCGGATTTTAATTTAGAGGAGTGGATGATTGGGTTCTTGTCCACAAAAAGTGGAGACGCAACGCTCTTCGCGAACTTCGTTTTCGTTCAGTACAAGAGACAAGTCTTTGTTTATCTTCACTTTCGTTCTTCCAAAAAGAGCTTCGCTAGTGAAAGTCCACATCGTGCGCTTCCTTCCTGATGGTAGTTCGGTTGCTTGCGAAAGTAGAAACAAATGTGAACATGTGAGGAAAGATGTCAGCATCATCATCAAAGATTACTGATAGCTATCATAAACCCGATGAACTGCGTTCGTCAACATGTCGACGCAGGGGACGAAAGCACGTTTTCTTCGTGACATTGGTCTTGAAAGAAAGTAACTGTTTCGACATTCATGTGGACCTCAAACTAAGTTGAGCTGGAAACATTCTGAGTTACCTTGTCTTTGTCGTCTCAAGCTTGGACTTTGGTATGTCTACTGCCCGTTGATGAGCATTGTGCTTTCACCTTGGTGCCTCAACCACCTTTCCTTTTGTCCTAAAGCTTGACGACTTTCTGCACTATCACGTGCCCACACCTCACGCAAAAATACTGATCCATTGCAGGGCACACTTTTTGGCATGTTCAAGCAACTCGCCTGCATCTGAGCAAACCTGACCTCGAACTTGACCTTACCACAAGGACCGATTGTTGCCAGCAACTCACGATTGTACGACCTGTACGACCTCGCCGCCTACTTTGAGTCTTGTGGCGAACGCCATTCGTGGGGATTCAGACGGTGCGGACTCAAGTTGCTGGCTTTTCTGCAAGCTAATTCCATTCAGGAAGTCGGTTGCCCCAAATTTTCGGTGGGATACCTACTTCGACAGAAATGGTGATTCCTTCACAAGCTGTCTACAACCTTGTCGTCATCGTTCCTAATGTTGATGCATGGACTTGAGCTGTGAAAATGACACACGAATTGGCCTGCTTATCCTGTTGGCAAACATACCCATGCCTTTATAGAGCTAGTAGTCATGATATGAAGATAGTGTTTGATCAGATATCTCTCAACGCAAGTCCCATTTTGATTGATCTAACTCAATTTTCTGGTTGCGAGCCCGAAAGATGAAGCTATTAGCGATTGTGCGCAAGGTTGCATGCCAAGCTTTTAATTCGTACTTACCTGTGTGTCTGCGTGTGTCAGTAAATACGCGGTTAGGTGTACCTTAAGCGTATTAAGTTTGATCAGGCCTGCCCCCTTCTCATTTGTATGTGCATGACCAAAGTCACTCTTTGGCTAGGTCACTATTGTGACGCACACATGTGATTGGCTTAAACTCAATCAAAGGCAAAAATTATCATGTAAGCAGCACTAGACGCTTGAAAGCAAAGGCTAATCGCGCCGCATGAGTATTATCCTGTATAATTTGGACATCTACAGCATCAGTCTTCAGTGACTGCTGTTGTACAGTGCATTGCAACTTAATCCAGTTCTATAAACTGAATACAAAGAGCGAGCGAGCTCCAGAGCTTGCTCCCCTTCTAACTGACGTTTTCGCTTTTTCTCTTACATTGATAAGAAGAGGCTTGTGCTTCACGCAGCGGAAGCAAATTTTGCCCTCAATCGCTTTTTCTTCCGCTGATGTTTGGCTGGCAATCAACGTATTGCAAACTTTTTTTGATGCTGGTTCTTGGATTACCGTGTTTCAATCACAGTACATGTGGACCTGTACAATCCAAGAGTTAGAGCAGTTTCGCAAAGTGCCTGCGGTAATCTTACGGCAGTTTGATACCTACTTTGAGCTCAACGTACGGCACGAGTGAACGATACTGGGCATGTAGCAGCGTTTTTTTCTGTTAATCATACAGGATGGCGCGGCGCAAGACATCAAGTTCGTTTATAAATCCATTTACTCTTTAAGGTGAATTGTGTTCTCCAGAAAGATGTTGCATCTTGTAAGTAAGCACCACAGGTGTAGATGCGCACGACTTCTGTACGTGAGGACCAGCAAATAGTGGAATGGGTAGCGAGCTCCACAAAAGAGTACAATCATCACATAAATCTGTCTTGATTGAAAGGCTATGGTCCAGTGTTCTGTCGTTTCAATGAGTGTAAGCTCGGTAGTAATGTCAATAAACTTGATTTGTGGCATGGAAACTGACATGGAGAAGAAAACAGTTGCTGTCGAAATGGAGTTTGTGAGGAAGGGTCTTTGCTGGGCTCTTGCTTCGTGACTCTGGTGCTACCTCACAGCCAAAGACTCTTAAGACCTAGCTTATTCGTATGGATGCGGGCTATTCCATAGATAACCATTACTTTACCCGACGTACATCAGAATCAAGCGCTAGTACGATTCAACACAGGTGGTGCGTTTCTTTCCGGACAATCGATATTGCAACGACGATATACTCATGTGCCAACGGCTGAGCCAGCAGGTGTGTGCCACTTCTTTCTCGGATGCACTTGCGTCTCGCTCAAATCATGTTTCTTGAATCTGGCAGATGGCACATCATCATTGATTCATCTTGTGGAATTGCATCTAGGCTCCAGTAGTTGCAAAATCGTCGTCCAGAGGGTCTGACGCTACATCGGGTTGGCTAATTACCTCTTACTAACTCACGTTCTCAATGTTACACGCAAGCTGAGGCAGCATACGCCTGATGAACAGTTATGCATGTTAGCCCGTGGAAAGCAATTTTATGACACCGATGTGTACGTGACGTGGTCTCGCACGTCGTCCAGAAATCACTGCGACGCGATACAGAGCTTATAGCGTGAAGGCTTCCTCAAGAGGTTTAATGTAATTTCTACGTATTCGTGCAAATTGGTTCGTGATGGTGCGGAAACAGAACGGCTCGGTGTTCAGCAAACAATGAGACGGTAATGCCACGTTCACTTATCTTACGGCATGACGCACAAACGGTAGAAAGCGCAAATGAATCAATTGATCGACACACTCTCGTGGTGATCTCCATCCACACTCGCTGATTTGTACCCGTTCGTGTATCTCATGGGACTACAAAGTTTGAAGGTCGCAGGAAGACACGAACATATTGTCGTGAATCGTCATGTGTACCCGCCTGATTTGCACCTGCGAAGTCGCCAATGTAAGCTCGCTGTCCTTGCTGTCTGAATGTCACATGCTCGCTTGTACTTTGACCACCACAACCGCGTAAGGGTGAGATCGACTAGATTGTTCACAAAGTGTGTCAGTTTCTACCTCATGCAAACTACGAGAAGCCAACGAGTCAGTATTGTAACTCATCGTATGTTACCCGATAAGCCCAACCAGCCGTTACCTTAACGTCATCACAGCCGCAAGATTCGACCTAGATTCATGCATAGCGACCGCACTATCGTCAGCCATGCGTTAAGCATGTCGTGCGCTATATCGATCAATTCATCCCACAAAGATACGCGTAGGGATCCGATAGCTTCCGTCATGATTCTCCGCTTTAGACACCGAACCGTGGGTGCTAAATGCTTGACCGACATACATGATCAGTGTGACGTCGTACCCACACAACAAGTATGAAGCAATGTCGAACGAACCTACGACGTCGGTCTGCATTCAAAATTCACACTGGGTAGCAGATCGACCGATCAGGTCGTTCACGTTATTGTGTAGCTCTGCTCGAAACTCGACTACATTTTTTGTACGCCATTTCTACCATCGTGAGATATATTTCAAGCGATTGTCTCAGGAATTATGGCCCTTCCAATAGTACCGAGAGAAAAGCTCGTGCCGTACCACTTCCGTCATAATGTACAAGCTCACGCCACTGCTTTTGCTTGAAGAGCGACTCGCAGCACCACTTTTATCGTTTGCTGTCATCGCTGCTAGCTGTGCGACTGACCTGATTACATACAGCATCATCTCGACACGTTTGATCTGTCCAGCTGTCCAGTCAAAAGTCAAGTGGAGCATAAGAGCACCATCCAACTCAGACCGCAGGGGGATAGCCCCTACTCCAGCTCGACAACAAACGCCCGATCCGATCGCTGCAATCGTTCTCTCAATATTTGACCAACGTGACTGAAAACGGCCACGGCACAGGGCCAAACGAGCATAACGTGGGACTCGCGGGACGGTAAGCGCGTGCGTGTCAAATGAATGGCCGGCCGTCGTTTGAACCCCGTCCCCCTTCCCAGCTTGAACGACCCGACAGACGCTGCGGTAGAATCATTTGACACGCTCAGCGTGGGGCAAAACGCGTGGCCCATCCGTCTCGTCGTTGTCAGCTGGACGGCCGCCAATCAATCATGACGCGGGCTCAGCGTCAAGCAGTTGAAGGTAGAGGCGACCTGTCGACGACAGCGACACAAGAAGGATAGCCCTTCTTGTGTACATGATGCAGTTGGGACCGGTCGCTCCCTCTAGCTCATCGCGCGGGTGGCCCAGGCGCATTCGCGGCAAAAGCTATTGAATGCATACGCGCCCATGGAGCGGAGCCTTACATCCACAACTACCCGCCCAATGCCTTGGTCACTACGCATCAAAGCTTTGGTGAACTATTCACATGATCCATTCTGATCCACCACATCAAGACGCTCGCCGTCAGCCCGCGACCTTTAGCAAACGTTCCAAGCGCGACCGCGAGGGAGAGAGCGCTCGCATCTGCGCCACAGCGCAGCAGTTGCAGTTCCGCCCCACCCGCCACCTGTTTTCTTCCGCCTTGGCTATGCGAAAAGCCAAGTCAAGTCAAGCCAAGCCACACCCGCCCAGTCGAGTCGCAGCAGTGCAGCCGGTACCAGCCGCTTCCCCCGTCCACTTGGCGCGCGCTCAGACGAACGAAAACCTTCGTGTCAGCCGTTGCCCGCCACTCGTCGCTTTTCCCACTTGGAGTCCCAGAGAAGCGCAAAATTTCGTCTTTTGCCGAGTCACTCGCTCACTCGCTCCGTCCGTCGGTCGGTCGGTGCCTTGCCCGTTCCTTCCTCGCTCATTCCTCAACTCGCCAGCTCGAGCCCAAGCAGCTGGAGCCGTGCGGCCGGTTCTGTGTCTGTCCCTCGTCCGACCTCATTCCCTCGCTCGCCTCCCCCCCGTTGTCATGCCCGGTCCATTCGTTGACGTCGTGGCCGTCGCGTCGCCCACAACAGCCGCCGCGCCGTTCAAAGACGTCCCGGGTGTCGTCCCCGTGCGGGAGGGACGGTCGCAGTCGCTCACGGCGCTGCCCCGCCGCGCCTCCACCGCCAGCGTGCTCACGGTCGAGCGCAGCGCCTCTGCCTTCCACCTGCAGCAGGACCAACAACAACAACAACACGCGCGGCAGACGCGACGCGCCCTCAGCTCCGCCACGAGCACGTCCTTGAGCCTCTTGCAAGAGGAACTGGGCTACCCCCGACGGGCGCAGGTCTCAGCCTACGACGGCGCGAGCTGCAGCCGTCGCCGGTCGTCAGTCGTCGACACGTCGTCGGCCGTCGCTCAGCCCAACGACGACGACAACGACGACGACCATCGCCGTCCACTCCCTCGTCGCCTCCACAGTACCACTAGCCGCCCTCATAACTCTTGTAACAATCTCACTAGTAGCGGTAGCAGCAGTAGCAGCAGGTGTGGGGGGGCGCTCTCTAGTCGCACGCTCTTCAGCTCGAGCGACGACGACGATGGCGCGTCTGTGCCATGGCATGACCGGCCGTCGTCGTCCCTGGACCGAGACGGAGGCGACGAGGACGAGAACTTTATGAACTACCGCCGCGCGTGCGTGACGGGCTACAGCCGCGACACGGACGGCGTCGTGTACTACGAAGTGATTGTCAAGAGTCTCGCCCACGGGCCCTTGTCGGCGTACAAAGTGCGACGGCGGTACTCGGAGTTCCGTGCCTTGCACGTCGCTCTTCAGCGCGTCATGGCCGTCTCGGCCGTCACGGCTCTGGCTCGGCTTCCGGGACGACAGTAGCAAGAGTCAAGAGGACGAGGAGGGAGGAGAAGGAGGAGGAGGAGGGAGGAGAGGGAGGAGGAAGACGAGACGGGACGCTACTAGTCGAGACAGGAGGGACGACGAGCCGACGTTGCCGCCGCTGCCGGACAAGGGCGGCGTGTGGAGCTACCTCCAGTTCGACAGCATTCCGCTGTTGGAGCGGCGCGCCAAGTACTTCCACGCGATGCTCGCGGCGGCCCAGCGGCATCCAAAGGCTCGGGCGAGTCGCCTCTTGAACGACTTTGTCGGGACTCCGCCGGACCTCGTGTCCCTCTACTCGAGCGTCGAGAATAGCTACGTGAGCTTGAACCGGTTTGCAGCGCCCAAGTTGAGCTTTGCCATTGAGATCCAAGAGAGGAAGGAGAAGGCCGAGAGCATCCGACGGCGACGGAACTCGCTGCATCGCCAGAGCTTTACGGGCTCGTTGGATGCCAGTTTCCTCAGCTCGTGTCCCTCGCAGTAGCGGCTGCAGCAACTGCCGTCGCTGTCTTTTGCATTGGACGACGACGACGACATGCAAGAAGAAGGTGAGGGAGTATCACCGCTACTGCTACTACTACTACTACCACCCCGCCAAAGGCGAGACCTCCTGATGACGACGTCATCGTCATTTCCTCCTGCTCGAGGGCAGCAGAGCTTGGATCGGTTTTGGATTCCTCATGATGATCGATTGATCGGTCGGTCGGTCGGTCGGTCGATCGATCGATCAATCGTTCTCCCACCCGTCGTCCGTTTCGTTTTCGTGTCCGTTCGTCAGTCACTCAGTCAGTTAGTCAATCAGTTCGTCTGTAATGGAAACATATAGTCCACGTGCCACGAATGCAGTTGCGTCCACTGTCGGTCGATCGTCTGCTGAGCATTGGGACACCACCAAGCGCTTTCGTAGTGTGATTCCAGTTCTTCATAACCTCGTGTGAGTTCGTGAAGTATGTGAATGGACACGTCCTTGACAACTGAACTCGAGTCCCTGTGTTTTTGAGTTACCCTATCTATACACGCGCACAAAGAGCAGCTGATCTGTCGATGCGATGATTGATTACCTACCTCTTACCACCCCACCCACGCCCGAGTCAAGCAGCAATCTACAGCTCAAAACGCACATACTCGATGGGTCAGCACCTCGTCCACACGCGCACGCTCGATTCAATTACGGCGGCACGATCTTGTAAATGTAGTCTGCAATCTCCGGGTCCAAGTACTCGGCCAATTCATCTCAGCGTGACCCATACGTAGTCTACCGCCTTGTCCTGATTCAGCGCGACCTCGCCACCCCAGAAGCTGCGACTTGTAGAAAGAAAACACTTTCGTGCCATCCACCGCCTCCTTCTCCTCGTGCAGGTACCTGACGTACCCCCATGGGTCCAAACCCCATTGGCGCCGTCCTCATCTCGTCGCCCACCGTCTCATGAACGTGTCGATTGGCAGCATCCCGCATCTTCTCGCCGTCCATCTTCGCTCCCACAGGAAAGAACCAGGGATACTTGACGCTCTTCTCGTCCTCCATCTCCCCCTCGCTGCGCTTCACCAGCAAAACACACGCCCCTTCAGCGCTCGATTCAGCGACTTGCGGAATTGTTCATCGCATCGTCCTCGTCTCCGGACTCCCGGGGCGCCAAGTGGAAACCCGCCCCCACCAACTCGTCCGGATCGTCTTGTTCGTCCGGCCCCGGCACTTCCTCGGGCGTCACATGGCGCGCCCGGGCTCCATGAACCAGAATCCGTCCTCCAGTCGCTGGTCCTCCCGCAGCGCCTTTTCGTGCTGCAGGGACCTCAAAGTCCATCTCCCAGTCGCCCACATCCGGCTGAATGATAGCCAGACGCTCGACGATGCCAGCACTTAAGATCCGCCAGTTTCTACCGTCGTCCAAAGGCGGCGAGATGAGAAAATTTGGACGACGGGAGTTTTGACGCCGCGGTTGACGGGGCGCTGGCGGATGGCGGCGACGCTCGTCCAGTTTGGCTTTTTTGACGCCATGTGAGCCGCTTCTTTGGGGCAGAAGCGAAGGCCAGCGAGGTGAGGAGGGAGGAGACGAGGCGCGGGGAGGCGCGAGCGCGAGGCGGCGGAGCTCGCAGAGCATGCTGGAGGGAAGACGCCGAGGTGGGCGGCGACTGGCTGGCGGCTGGTGGTGGAGGGTGCGGACACGAAACCGGTTTTTGAAACGGGAACTTGTACGATTGGGAAATGAGTGAGAGAGTGAAGTGGTGGGTGGTGATCCCTCTTTGGGTTGGAATAATGATGGTTGACTCGGACGGTAATGGTTGTGCTTTTCAGGCTTTGGAGTAAAGCCGGTTGGAGGCTGAGTGGAAGGATATTGTGCTTCCTATCCTGCCACGCATGATGAGCTTGGATCGATTGGCCGATGCCCCGTCACGAACTTACCAGTTCCCAATGGCAATTACGCTCTGATTAAGTCCACGAAAACGCAGTTTCTAGTAAAAATATATGACTATTTGAATGCTGGAATGGATCAGGTTGTACGCTAGCTGTAAGCGTGTTTATACTGCAAGTGGGGGCAAAGAGCGAATGTCAAGGACTTTCGTGAGTGTTTAGAATGCTGACGTGCGGGAGGTCAAGGAGCTCGAATGGACATTTTTACTAAATGGCCAACCCTGTAGCAGAAATGAACTAGCTCCATGACTTCGATTCGGTTGGCGAATAGCTATACGCTTTCAACAGTGATCGTTCTGTACAATCTTTTACTACTTCAGGGGCATCGACTCTAGAGTCCGTAATGGCACTATCGACACCATGTTAAGCAGTCAATTTCTTGAAAAGGCAAGTGGATTCCACGGGATCTTTTGGCATTTCTTGGTCATAGAGAGCCATGTAATGGTGTGCATGTCATATTACTATACGAAACGCCCCCTCTCATTTCATCCTTACAAGCTCGATCAAATAGCCTTGATGTCAAAACATTCTTTCTAGACGGCCTGGTAAACCCATTAGAATATGCTGCTGATGTTAGATTCATTTGCCATCGACTGAAGTGCTTGGCACGAATACAAATAGATGCTGAACCAGGTTCCTCTTACGCCGCTTGCACACGCACCCGGCCATGGCAGTTGCGCCAAACGCAGCGATGTTACAATCTCTTTCCCTAACAGATCGGCGCATCGTAGAGCTTTTGGTCATGCTTTGTTGGCAAACGAGGAATTTTCACCCTTTACGCAGCTCTTTCTTCTCCAACATAGCACGCATCGTTGTATCTTCTAATCTTTCGCCTCGAACGCCAACATTATACGATGATACTTGTAGTTCATGCTTGCTTCTTGTGGGTTGGTAGCACTATTTTGTGCTGTTCGGGCCGTTACGAACTGGCACAGCTCTAGCTGCCTACACTGGATAGGCCGATTGTTTGACAACGGATATCTGAGCTCATCAGGAAAACGTCATTTACCCCAATAAACAGCTGAGACATCTCCGGAAAGGGCTTCTGTAGGCACTTTCTACTCAAAAAGCACAACAGTAGGAGTCAAGTCTCGATTAAGCATTAGTGTTGCAGCTTCTTTTTCTTCTCCTGATAACTCCATTTTTATGCAGTATGTACGATCCTTGTACGGGCATTTGGAATGTGCATCCAAACTGAGAGAGAAAAAGAATTGCTGTGGGGTGGAGCAGTGTGATCTCTACCCAATTAGCTGGGGTTCACGCTTTCTCATGGGCCATAGTCGATTTGTTCAAGCGCTTGTACAAAAGTAGCACACGCTTAAACTGCTTGTCTTGGCACTTGCAATGGACCAGAGTAGCTGATCCAAACGTTGGGAGAGAAACCATACCGTGTCGATCAGAGCATGCATATACCGTGTATGTACTCTATTTTCTTGTTAGCAAATGAAGGGGTCGATCGATGAGGTAATGAGGCGCAAAACAACGGGGTTATGGAAGCTTCTTGAGCATCAACAACACGGCTTTTAATGACGGAAATTTGCTCTGTCACAGGATAGTCAAAGCGTCAAATGTTACAGTAAAGATGCGATGGCTTATTGTCAGCCTGATTACTAGGCAAATTATAATGGAATGTTCAAACAAGACGGCTAAACCGCTTGTGGCATAAACGGTGACCGGCAACGAGCTTCGTAACTGAGGCTTGCCGATCGATCATGCATTGCATTATTGGATAGTGAGCATAGCACGTTTATTTTCACGCACATGACGAGGGGCCTGGTGCGACGTGGGGAAGCATTCAATGTTTCTACAATGTCCTTGTAGACAATTATACGCCCGGTATCACTCCAACAAAGTCGTTTGAGCGTTTTGCATCCAGTCACGACGAATTCAGCCAGGCAACGTATGGACGGTACGAGGATTCCAGCAACGCGAACACTCTCCGAGTCATATCTCTTTGTTGAAGAGTGGGTGGTTGTATCGGCCAGGAACCTAGCGCTAGCTTTCGAATGTTCATACCCATTGATGGCGACAATGTTGCGTCGGGCGTCAGGAGCGCGGCGGATCGAGCGATTGGCGGTGCACTACGACGATCTTTCACGTTTTTTGTCCATGTCATCAATCTCGACGCGGTCTTGTGCACTGAACAGTAAACGATGGCGCGTTGCCTAACGCCAACACCACTCCCTCGACAATCGTTTGCAGCCCATGCTGCATCTCACTTTGTCGGACAACGTGCGCAGTAGCGGCATCACCTCGTAGTATGTAGCTCAGGTGCCAGCGCCACTTTCTCTTGACCTTTTCCCTTGTCAATCGTCTTTTCAAATCGAAACTTTACGGCCTTTGCAGCTTTGTTGAACTTGATACGTTTCGTCCGTGCACCAGCTTCTTGTGTGTAACGACGGAGAACTTCCATGCGTCGAGTTTTTCGCTCTCGCTCTCTCCGCTCACTATCGTCTCGAACACTTAGAATCACGTCGCGCTTTGTATCGAGCATCTCCACGAGTGTTTGCAACTCTTTCCACTCGGTCTTGCAGCTCAAAGTCCCGCGCTTTTCGTCCATGACCGTAGTAAAAGTCTGTAGAAAGAGTGCAGTCTTGACTCCAGAGGTCGAAGTGATCCAGGAAATGAACTGGCTGAACAATGCACTGGCTTTGGCAAATGTTTTGTCCATGAGCTACAACATGTACACACGATATGGTTGCAATCGCAACATTATCACTGGCACAATTAAATAGGAACAATAAGAGCCAAAATGGGCTCAGATCTAAGCAAAAATAAAAAAAAGAACGAGAGAAAGCAGAATGTCCTAATCGTCCAGTACGTGTGCTCTAAATACGAAAGTACTTCACTATAATTACAACAGATAAGACGAGTCCGACATGACGCACCAGGTGTTTTTCAAGTTTTTTCATCGTGTCAGAAATGCCCCGCGGTTTCTTTGCAAGTTTCGCGGCCGCTTGACAGTTGCACTAGGATCCGTCGCTTTGTCGTACGATCGTCTTCTTTGTCGCGGGTTGTCATTCTTTTGTTTCGCCTGCGTCTTTTCGTTGACGCTTAGTTTGTGGAGGGATATTTCAAGCCGCTGTACATGTAAGCGTTGACCGGTACATCCATTTTTGGTGTCTTGATGTGTCCGGTTTGTCTGCAGAGTCTGTCGAATAAAAATACTCTGTACAGGGATAATAATTTATAAACTATTCACTTTTGTGTAAGTCGATGGTGGTAATCACACACTCATCCTCTTCTATGTAATTCTTCCTCGTAAAAGGACGCTGCTCATAAAGAAGATTTCCATGTTAATTGACTGAGTCGATCACAGATTATGTATTGTCAATTCTGAATACGTCGCGACACATCGATGCTCGCCAAGAAGGGATTTGGGACTAGTTAATTGCTGATCGATTATTTGTTTTGCTGTTTTTAATCAGCTCTTAGAAAAAGGCTGCTTCGGGAACAAATCAGATTATGTAAGCTTTATCGTTACCAGCAAAGCTGACAAAAAATGGAATATAATTATATATCACATTGAGCCTGTTAAATATATCATTTTGAGTGCTGACATCTACACCGAGAAAAATAGTTGGTGTAAGCGATCCTTACATTTTACCATCCGAACCTTCGATCTTGTGGTACCTGGTATTTTTTGTAAAAGTTCCTTATTGTGCACTTTGGCCTTGTAAAATTTGGGTATGTCCTTTTAATTATCCACGGTCTAATTGTCGTAGGGGACAAAGCGTTCATAAGGTGAGTGAAAAGTGTTCGTAGAATTGGAGCATATTGAAACATGCATTGGACACTTGGAAACAATGAGTTGGGAAGAGAAGCAGATAAGAGAGCTAAGAGCTGCAACATGGGAAAGGTCCTATATACGGGGGGAAAGTTACGTAGGAAAGATTTGAGCCCGGTAATGACAATAGGTGCCTCATAGCGTCTGCAGCAGTTACTAAACTTTGTGTGAACCAACGAGAGATCATTATAGGTTCCTGTCCAACTTATACACAGGAAGATGTACAAACAGTCAGTATAATTATGTAACATAAGTTAAGTTTGGCTTGAAAGTGACGGGTGAAGTCCCGGTCACCTCTGCTTGTTTTTTGGTCCCCAGTTAGGTATTATAAAACAAAGTATTGCCATTGTCATTTAGAACCACGTCGTCGACTTTGAGTTTATCGATTATCTCTAACAAATGCAGCCAATGTATGCAACTAATCTTCGCCAATGACCTGATTGATCTCAAAATCCCGGGCCAATGGCATGATTCAGTAAACTTATCTCCAGGTGTCATAGAGCTACAAAATGTAGGCGGGTTAAAGTGAAATCAAATCTTTCTAGAGTTATCCCCAAGTTACTTTTTATCTGCTGCGGCGCACGCTTTATGAGTTTATAACCAAATGATGTTCTCTTATTGGACAGAAAGTAAAGGTTTAGCTGATCAGCTGTAGACGTGCCTCTTCGTGATAGTAGCAAACCATTTCTTATCTTTAGCTTCGTGTCCATATCTATTGTGAGGTGGGCAGGAACTAGTGTGAGTTACAGCAGGAAACTGTTTGAAGTGCTAACAGGGATATGTGCTCATGTCACTGGAGTATATCAAATCTGATCAATTTAAGCTGATGAAGTGCTTAGCTCAAAGAGGGTGTGCCAAAAACGGGACGATAAGGACTAGTAAACAATAAGTTGTGACTATTGATGGTTAGTGTGCTTTTGAGGCAGACATTCGAGAATATTATGGACGGAACTATCAATAAGGCAATGCTTATCCAACAACTGGAAAAGCAGATATAATCAAAGACTCAATCAAATCACCAACAAACGCAAGGAGTGATACGTCAATTAAGCCGCCGGCGATTTTGGCAGTGATAAGTCCATGTTAGCAAGACAAAATTAGAAATGTAAAGAAAAATGTGCGATTTGCACGAGCTGAAATTAGACTCACAGCCATTTTCAAGGCCTACAAGATCCGCCGCTTAGTACATGATCTTTGCCAACACCACACAGTGGTATTGGAACGACGAGGATATCCTGTATAGTTCATATAGATATTTAATAATTTATGACAAAGCCTTTATGCTTATAGCACTGCAATTCCTGAATTAATGGACATGTAGGCCAAGATCATGCTTAAGTTTGCCATTTCAAAGCAGGAGTTCGAGGGTTTAAAGTCGTCGATTCGTGCGTTTTTGCAGAGGAAGCTGATCTACTCAAACCAAAAGAGGAATGGGTAGTTCATTACATGAAATCTGACACCCAAATGATGCTGAGAGGGAGCTCTTGTCTAGTATGACACATTGTTTCAAGTTTTTTCCCACACAATATTGTTGTTTAGGAGATAGATAATATTGAAGGAATAAATATTATCCCCCTAGTAGATAAGATATTCATGCGCTGCTCGAAGATTTGCCGGATAGAAGACATATCAACCAAGGGCTACCGCTTACCAACCGCCGTTGCTAGACGCGTAATGAGGTGGTATATGCAGGTTGTCACGCCATGGCAACAAATGTAGGGTAACATA